AAACAGCACCCTAGCTTGGACTGTTGGTGCTGCTGAAATGTTGAAGTGGTTGATCCTGATGCTCAGCTAGCTCCAGCAGTAACCCGTCTCCACCCTGAGACCTCTCCTTTCCTGGTTCTCTTCGTGTCCCCAGAACACTGTCCTGGTTCTTACGCTGTTTTCCTAGAGGTGGCCCAGAGACGAGGCTTGGTGAGGTGGTCAGGGAGCAGCTTGAGCTGCCGAGGCAGGATTGATGAAAACCCTAAACTTTACTTTTTCTTCATGAGGATACGATTTGGGCTTTGCTTTTGGAAGCTGTCCTTGCCCACCCCTCCCAGCAGAGCTGGGATCAGTTGGGTCCTCTGTTAAAGTGAAGCTCAGGAATCAGACCTGGATCCCAACCCTGAGGGAAGGTCGTGGGCCAGCTCTTGTCTCTCCATAAGCAAATTCAGGAGCTTTTAAAAATCTCCTGGGGACTGAAGCAGCTGACTGCAGCCTGCCAGGGCAGCATGCAAAGGGTGAGAGCAGGGGGGCTTTGGGATGCACGGCAGTGGGGTGCATGGGAGCAGCTTAGGCACAGGACCCTCCCTGCTGTGCAGGGCAAAGCTGGGCTGTTCTGGTCACGGGGCAGTCGTCCTGCAGTGCCTGTACAGATGTGTCCCAGATGTGGAGTTGGGAGCACAGCGTGCCGATGGCGAGCAGCAGATGGAGCTGGTGCTCCGTGACCTGGTGCCTGCGTGGCTGTTTGGCGTGGGGTGGAGAGCGGCAGGACGGAGGAAGTTGGAAGCACCGTGAGCAGCGGTGCCGGAGGAAGGACTTGCCACACGCCGGCACCCCACCAGGACGTGGCCTTCCTGCCCATGCCTTGTCCTCTGAGCTCTGGCTTGCGAAGGTTCTGCTGAGCTTTTACCAGGGCTTTTACGCTCACAGTTGCAGAGAGCGTGTCCTGTCCTGTCCTGTGGGTTGAAGGGTGATCCCTGCAGCCTCTCCTGCTTCCCAGTGAGCGGGAAGTGCCCAGGAGCCAGCCTGGGCATGTCTCAGCGGCTGATACTGAGCTTACAAAGAGCCCTGACTTACTCCATTTCCTGCAACTCTGGGCTGTGTGTCTGACTCCCTGTGCCGATTTGTATCGCTTATTTATTCCGTTCCCCTCCGAGAATAAAATTAACTACATGCTCTGCTCGTTGCTCTTCCTGGTTGCTTGCCTAGATCAGCCCCGCGGAGGGTGCTGCCAAACGCCGACTGCTCTGCGGGTCTGGTGCTGTGCGAAGACAGCCCAGGGTGAATGTGACTGAGATGCCGTGATTCCAGGGAGCTGCAGAGATAGCTGGCATGAGAAGGAGGGAAAGTTAAAGAGAAACGAAATAGGGTTGCTTTTTCATAGTGAATCAATTGAAAGGATGTTTTCTTGGTGTGGGGCATGTGTTTATAAAACTGTGCTTGCACAGGAAACCCCTAGAACTTACTTTTCTTAATGTCCTCAGCAAATGTGGTCAGATTTAGCTACGGGGATTTACTGAAAGCTGCTACACAAATAAATGACCAAGTACAAAATTAGCAGCAGATCAACAACCTGTGCCTAAAGTCAGCAGTGGGGAGAGGAGAAGCCCTCGCAGTCCTGGAGAGGCTGACTGGCTTGTGGCTGCAGAATGGAAATTCAGCTGCCCAGGAGTTTGCTTTGCAGAAGTGCCTAAGCAAAGGGTGGGCAAAAGACAAAAGTTTCCGGTTTTCTTTGGCAGGGGCAGGAAGGCGGATGATGCTGTGTCTGGAGTTTCAAGAGTATTTTTCGCATAATTTTTGTCCACTGGTGCTTGACACTCTGCTCATATCAGAGGTGACTGGAATTGGTTTGACTTCCCCCGCGCCCCACTCACCTGTTTCCTATGTGCTGTGCAGAACTCAGGCTTGCTGGATGCAGAAGGACAGTTACAGGTGCTGTATTTCTCCTCCAAGGTTCTCCAGTCCGGCCAGACCCCAAAGCTGCCCCTGCCGAGCTGAGCTGGGAGCAGAGCATTGTGCATCCCAGTGGCGATGGTGCTGGTGGTGCTCAGCTCTGTGCACAAGCGGCCAATGCCTGTGGTGTTTTGCTGTGTTTGGTCACCCGGGATCGCTGCCGGCAGCAGCGCTTGGTGCTGCGGAGCAGCTCCCCGCAGCTGTGCTGCTCTCTCACCTGTTCCTGCAGCGCTGCCGGTGCTAACTGCGATGGCGAAGCCGGCCACGCAACTTGGCAGGGCTGGGGCGAGATGCTGCTGTAACGTTACTGGTAACGGAGTTTCCTCCCCTGTGGTATCTTGGGGAATATGCTGTGCTATCCAAAGCCAGGTGTGGCTCTCGCAATGCACTTTCCTGGTACGTGTTGTTCTGTGTTTTTCCTGCCGTCCTCCTACAGGCGCTTGGCCCCAAGCCCAGCAGCGTGGCCGCTCTGCCGAGAAACGCTGACTGCACAGCCTGCGTGAGAGCTCTCATACAGCACCTGGCTGACAGCGAGGGCCAGTGGCTGAGGGTGGGTGTTTTGGGGTGCTCTGTCCTGCAGTGATACCCCACCGTGGGCTTGGCTATCGTGCCCAGGGTCAGGATGGGCCCATCACTGTGCCTTGTTTGGCGTATTGCAGGTCCCACAAGCAGCTCCCGCTCTGATGTGAGAGTGCTTTGATCTGGGTAACGTTTTCTGCAAGAAGGTGTGGGAGGAAGAAGCTCCAGACTGCTCACTGCCTCCGCCTCTGTGCCAGCCTCGCGGGGCATCGAAGCAGCCCCTTGTGCATCCCATAGAGAGGATGGTCATTGCACCAGGTCAGGCTCCAGAGCCGCCTTTTCCTCTGAAGCACTTGACTTGGTTTAGGTTGGTTTTTTTTTTTAAAAAGGCAAATGCTCTATCCTGCATGTTTAAGCATATAGCACAGGGCTCTTGGCTCTTAAGCAGATGAAGTTTTAGTAGGCAAAAGGAGTCAAAACCATAGAACTGTTGAATAGTTTAGTTTGGAAGGGACTTACAGAGATCGAGGGGTTGAGTTCCCTGCTGAAGGCAGGGCTAGCTTGGGGAAGTGTCTCAGTATCCCTCCAACAAAGGATATAAGCTTCCCTTTCCAAAATTCAAGAAATGCTGCACAGTCGTGTTCTCGCTGGCCTTCAGTTCCTGCAGGGCTCTTCCTGCTTTCCCTGGCCCGAAGAAGGCAGCGTGACCTCAAGTCTCCACACTCGAGTTCCTGCACTCCTCCTTATCTGTGCCAGGGTCGTGTCGCTCGTCTCTCTTAATTACCCTGAAAATCCCTCCGGTTATCTTGCGTGATTCAGTGACCTCTGTGTGTATAACGAGCATCAGGCTGCATGAAAGTTCCTGTTCATCAGACTTTGACCAAAATTAATTATAAGCTTGTAAAATTTCAGTAGCTGTCAAAGTACATTTGCTGTTGCTTCTGTTTCTGGCCCATAGCCACAACCTGCACAGGCGTGCCAGGGCCGGTGCTGGTGCATGGGCTGCAGCAGGGCTGAGAAATGCAGAGCATTGCTGGCTGAGCGCAAGCGAAGCTCCAGCACAAGCAGGCTGAGATCTATCTAGAGAAGTTGCTCGGCTCTGCTGTAACTCCTGATGCTTGGATTTTCATCGGCGTGCTGTGGCCCGTCCTCCCTTTCCCCCTCCAGCCCCGGCGGGACGTGCTGCAGAGCTTGCCTCCACGCTGGGCTGAGATTCAGGAAATCCGGGCTGCGTCCTTGGCCCTGTCGCAGCCTGCCTCTGTAGCAGGGAGCAAGTCTCGGTCCTCAGGGTAAGTGACGTGGTCTGGCTTGCCTCAAAACGGCAGGATGCCAGAGCCTGGAGCGAACTGTCGCCTCTTCTGATAGCCTCCATATGGGAGACCAGATATGTGGTTGCATTAGGCAGTGGGAACGGACCAGAAAAAAACCACAAAATATTGAACACACTTGATTGCGTGAGCGGATTCGAGTCTCTGCACATCTTACAGTTATGAAATGGCTGTAAAAATCCTTCCCTCCTTTCCTTGCCATACTTAGCTGGCTCTCATGGCAGGCGGACATGCAGGGGCCGGGGTGATCATGTCCCTTTGTGCAACTGCAGTGCCACCAGAAGTATTTGGGCTTTAACAACCCCCCCTGCCCTCGCCCCGTGCGGTGCAGGCTGAGCAAGGGCTGCCAGAGCTGGGCGAGTCCCCAGAGGCGGCAGCTGAGCAGTGTTTCTGGTGTCTCTCCCAGGTAGTAGTCCATGATGTGAATGAGCTGACGGAAAAGCTGTTTCCAATCGTCGAAGCCATGCAGAAACACTTCAGCGCTGGATCGGGGACCTACTACAGTGACTCGATTTTCTTCTTGTCAGTTGCAATGCATCATATCATGCCCAAAGGTAAGCCTCTGCTGAGCTGCTGCAGCAACTGCTTCCAGCAACACAGGCTGTCTTTTGTTCTGCACAGAGGGGTTATCCAATGCTATTTGAAGTGCAAAGAAAGTTAATAAACTTTTGTGGTGAGCTCCTGGGGTTCTGCTCCTTCCTGCAGTGATGGACCCTTCAGTCCAAGACTGCCCACATCCAGGTCTCCACTGGCATGAGTGGCAGGAGGTTATCGGTGCTGCGCATCAGCTGGCCCTGCCCTCATGCCCTGAGATGGTAGGAAAGGTGAGACAGGAGCAAGCCTGTGTGTTTACAGCCCCCCTTCCCCTTGGGGTGTCAGCAGATAGAGGTGCCACATGCTTGTGGTTTGGGTGTGTGCTAGCAAGCATCAGCAGAGGGTGGTTATTGAGCCTTTCCTCTTGGCCTCAGTGAGTTTTTGGAAAGCTTTGCTGGTTAGCAGGCACTGATCACTTAAGTTCCCTTATTGTGCCTTTGCTCTGCTGTTACTGAGTGCAAGAACAACAATAAATCTGCAGGAAAACAAGTCAGCTGGCAGAAGGGGCTTGGCTCAGTTGATGCCAAGTTTTCCTTCCCTGGCTGTGCACGGTTGCTTCTCCTGGGACCAGCATGCTCTCTAGCCATGGACAGGTCGCACGAGGAGGGTATTGCATCCCTGCGCTCCAAACCCCTTCCCCAGAGCTCCCCCAGCCCTGTCTGTCCCTACCCAGCGCTGGTTCCCAGGCTCTCCCTGCCAGCTGCCTCACTGACCTGATGCACCGGTGATGGCAGCATCCCCTCCTGGGCTGGCAACGTGCCCTCCCTGTGCCACGGCAGGGTGTGGGTAGCAGTGGCGGCAGGGGGCCCGGGGG